TTCACCCTCTCCGTTTGGCCATCGGTCTGCGGGTGAAAGCTTGTGGAAAAGTTAAGTTCGGACCCCATGATTTTGAAGAGCTCCATCCAAAATCTTCCTGTGAAGCGAGTGTCCCGATCGCTCACAATAGTCTTTGGTATGCCCCAATATTTTACCACGAACTTGAAGAATAACTTCGCAGCATCTTCTGCAGTGAATTTGGTTTGGACTGGTATGAACACTCCATACTTGCTAAACCGGTCCACCACCACCATAATGTTGCTGCATCCTTCTGTCTTTGGCAAACAAGTGATGAAGTCCATGGAAATACTTTCCCATGGTCTCTCGGGAATCGGAAGTGGCTCTAGTAAGCCAGAAACGGGGCGCTGTTCCACCTTGTCTTGCTGACACACAAGGCAAGTCTTTACATAGAGCTCAACATCATCTCGCATCTGGGGCCAAAAGTATGCTCGCTCAATGAGTGCCATCGTGCGTCAAACTCCGGGATGTCCAGCCCACCTCGAGTCATGGCACTCCTTAATGATCTCCTTCCTTAAGCCTTGCCATTTTGGCACGTACACTCGGTTTCCTTTAGTTATGAGCACCCCATCCTCAAGCCAAAACCGGCGTGTCTTCCCTTGACTTGCCAATTCCATCAAACTTTTGGCTTGTGGGTCTTGCTTTAGTCCCTCCTTGACTCGATCAACCAAAGGGAAACTCGGGCTAGTGATGGAGGCAAGTTCGGCCTTTCTACTCAATGCGTCGGCCACGACATTCCCTTTTCCTGGCTTGTACTCCATCACAAAGTCGAACTCTGCTAAGAAGGCTTGCCACCTTACCTGCTTCGGTGTAAGCTTCTTCTGCTTAAGGAAGTAACTTGTGGCGACATTATCGGTTTTTACAATGAACTTGGTACCCAGCAAATAATGTCTCCACGTTCTCAGGCAATGCACCACGGCCGTCATCTCTTTCTCTTGGACTGTGTAACGCCGTTCTGCATCATTGAGCTTACGACTCTCGTAAGCCACCGGATGACCTTCTTGCATTAGGACTCCTCCTAAGGCAAAGTCTGAAGCATCCGTTTGTACCTCGTATGGTTTGGTGTGGTCAGGCAAGGCCAACACCGGTTCCTTGATCACGGCTGCTTTCAGCTCCTCAAAAGCGGCTTGACACTTATCATCCCAATCCCATACTCGGTTTTTCTTTAAAAGATCAGTGAGGGGGGCGGCTATCGCAGAGTAGCCTTTGATGAATTTTCGATAATAGTTGGCCAATCCAAGGAAAGAACGAAGTTCGGGTACCTTCCTTGGCGGCTCCCATTCCCGTATAGCACGCACCTTGGACTCATCCATCCGTAGTTTGCCCCCTCCGACAATGTGCCCTAGGAAAGTTACTTCCTGTTGAGCAAAGGCACATTTCTCCTTCTTGACATACAACTCGTTCACCCTGAGGACTTGGAAGACTTGCCTAAGATGCTTCACGTGCTCCTCCAACGTCTTGCTATAAATGACAATGTCATCCAAGTATACCACCACGAACTTGTCCAAGAACGGTTGTAGGACTCGGTTCATGAGGGTGCAAAATGTTGTTGGTGCATTTGTGAGTCTGAAAGGCATCACAAGAAATTCATACGAACCATACCTCGTGACACATGTTGTCTTTGGTTCGTCTCCCTCGGCTATTCGTACTTGATAATATCCCGACCTTAGATCTAACTTGGTAAACCAACGAGCCTGGCCAAGTTGATCAAAGAGATCGGCAATAAGTGGGATTGGGTACTTGTTCTTCACCGTGATCTTGTTAAGCGCCCGGTAGTCGATGCATAACCGAAGTGACCCATCATGCTTCTTCTGGAACAATACTGGGGCTCCATAAGGTGCTTTTGATGGACGGATATATCCCATGTCCACCAACTCCTTCAATTGCCTCCTAAGTTCCTCAAGCTCCAGAGGCGCCATACGGTAAGGCACTGCCGCAGGTGGTGTGGCACCAGGCACCAACTCTATCTTGTGGTCCACCTCTCTCTTTGGTGGCAACCTCTTGGGCAACTCGAGTGGCATCATGTCCTTGAATTCTTCTAGGACATGCTCAATACACCTCGGGAGCTTTTTAGTTCGCGAGGCTACTGCTTCTTCTTTCAAAGCTACTAGATATGTGGGCTGCTCCTTCTTTATGCCTTTGGAGAGTTGCATGGCCGAAATCTGCTTCTCTCGGAGTTGGGTTTCCCGTTCAAGAGATACTAGTCGGGTGTTACCTTCTTCCAAGATGCACATCGTGTTGGCAAAGGGGATTGGCACGGCCTTAACCTTGTCCATGAATTCCATACCCAAGACAATTGGATAGTCATCCATGGTGACAATGGAGAAGTCTACGAGGCCGTTCCAATCGCCCAGGCTTACCTTGACATCGCGAGCAACTCCAAAGGTAGCCCTTGGTCCTGAATTGACTGCCTTGAGCCAACCACGTTCTCCTTGGTAGTGAATGCCCAACTTTTTAGCCTCTTCCACTCTAAGGAAGTTGTTGGAAGCTCCCGTGTCCACAAGTGCTTTGACAGTGTGTCCTCCAATCTCGGTTTCGACAAATAACCGTCCCTTCCTTCCGGACTTGGGCATCTCCACCTTTGCCTTAATTGCATTGAGGAGTTGTAGGGATCCTACTCTCTCCTCTTCTCGTTCCCTTTCCTCCCTTTCCTCGATCAATGCCGAAAGTTTAGCCTTCTTTGGGCAATCCCTTGCTTTATGTGGTCCTTCACAAAAGAAGCATTTAAGTGATGGCCTTTCTCCAGCTTTGTACTCCTTGGGACCCTTCGACTTGTCCGTGGTCTCCTTGCCTCGGTGATGCTCTCCCCCACTCTTTCCCTTGCCGCCCTTGTCTTTCGGCTTTGGCTTCTCGGGTTTCTTGAACTCAATAAGGGACTCAGCAATGGAGATAGCGGTGGTCAAGTCTTGAGCACCACGTCTCTGGATCTCAAGTTTAGCCCACTGTTGCAATCCATCCATAAAGGCAAAGAAAGCTTCTTTATTAGGATAGTCAGGGATCTCAAGCAGTACCTCGGTGAATTCCTTCACATACTCACGAATGCTTCCCTTGTGTTGAAGAAGCCTTAATCTACCCCTGGCCTCTTCTTCAACATTACTAGGATAAAATTGTTTCTTGAGCTCACCCTTGAATTCAGCCCAAGTGTCTATGGTGCAAGTGCCTTTCTCTACGTCCCCTTGTCTCCTCCTCCACCATACCATAGCGGTGTCCTCGAGGTAGAGACATGCCATGCTAACCTTAAGTGCATCGTCGGTAACGACGTTCGCTCGGAAGTATTGCTCCATACTCCATAGAAAATTATCTAGTTCCTTCGCATTTCTTGTCCCTTTGAAAGCCTTAGGTCGTGGAACATCTACTTTAGAGGATGTAGTCCTTACATCAGACGTTGACGGACTTTCTTGTGCAAGAGCCTTCTTGCACAAGATGAGCTCCTCTTCGGCACTCTCCAACTTACGCGAGACCCTCCCGAGTTCTTCACGGATCGAAGAAACCTCATCCCTATGAGACTCTTCCATGGCCTTCATGTTGTCGAGACATTGGGCAAGGACTTTGTTCATGGCGGCTTGCATCTCCTCACGGAACTGGTCCATGCTTTGCCCCATCTCCTCGAACTTCTCCTCCCCATCGGCTATTGCAAGCTCCACCTTGGCTAGCCGTGTCTCAAAACCCTCCATGGTTTCCCTTGAACTAGATCTCTGAGATTTAGATTTCTTCTTGACTCCCTCGGACATATTGATAGTCTCGCTTCCGCTTTCCATCTACCTCTATGTTCCAACGATCTTCAAACCTTGGCTCTGATACCAACTGTCACGGACTTGGTCGTAATTCCAACGAACCGTGCGGCCTAGCAAACTTCTTGCCTTAAGTTGCTAGTCAGCCTAACTCACGAAGGAACACGAAGGAACAAGAGACTCAAAGAAAGAACTTTGTATTGATCTCTTGAAGTACTTACAACACTCTCACTTTCTTGAGTGTGAGAAATGAATGGGGGGGAGGGGTATTTATAGTTCTCCACCTCCTCAATGGACGGCTAAGATCTATTTGATCCAACGGTTACAATGTCGTATCTAGAATACTCTACATAAATATCTAGATATTTACAAAGGGGTTAGGTGTCTCTACAACTATCTATAGTATTCTGGAACCTTCCAAGCTTCCCCAACAAGTTCCACACATTTCTAGAGAGTTCCAGACTTACCCAAGACTTTTGTGGACACCTTTAGACAGTTCTGGGCAGCGAGCCTTTGTGTATTTTGGGCAAAACAGGAGCGGTGCGTTACACATGGCATTGAAAAGGCCTGCTTTCTTTTTCTTTCTAACGCCGGTGATGAGCTTTCACTCTCTTTCTCTTTCTTCCCTAAAAGCTTGTGGCTCTCTCTTTAATCAATCAAGGGCCAACCACACCAGTCGATCAAGAAGAAAAGCTCCTTCGAAAACTGTATTCACACGCACTGCTTCTGTGTTGCTGGGGATTCTGGATGAAGTCGCACGAATATTGGGATTCGGCACTCTGGAATGATAATGGCAATCAGAGCTTCCAGTCGCGTTCCTTGCTTCTTTTTCAGCAGTGGCAACAGAGTTTGCACCATAATTTGTTGCTTCCGTTAGAAACGCTTGATAACATTTGAAATCAGATCATTGAAGAAGTTGAAACCATTTCCATATTTAATGTGCTGCTGTTCGGCTTCATATCTACGTGGTTAAAATGCCTTTAATATCATTGTACTGTATGAATTTGTTTACATATATACACACACACAGATATGTATATCGGCTTGCCATTGTTTCAAGGGCCTTATTTTGGCGCTAAGCATGAATCTGAATTAAATACCCCAATGGCAATATGACAGGCTCGTGATTATCGAAAGCTTTTAAGAAATGGTGTATTATATACGTTAAGCAAATTTTTTTAAATAATAAAATAAGGTAGTTTTTTGTTAAGATTTTAAAAAAGAATATGCAGCTGTACATAACGAAATTCGTCATAGAGTAGATTTCCATTTGCAAGTTACCACGTTTGGGCTCAATTTTACGTTCCTCTTCTCCCCCCTGCCGTAGTACTCCATCTTCACCTCTTTTGGCACCTTGTGGAACTCACGCGCCGCCGCTAGCGTCTCCTCCAGCAGCTTTGTGGTTATCCTATGATTCACCACCTGAAAAAGCCCCACTGTCTCGGCATCATACCCGACTTTGCCGACCACATAATCATCAACACCATCCCCTCCAGTGGCGACCATGTCTTTGAGATCTATCACCGAAATCTTGAACTGGGTCTGACCTCTTTCACTCCGGAGACCTTCGTCGTCGGCGATCTCCTCCGGTGGCCGTATGAAAATTCGAGGAAATTTCGTGATTCCTGATTCAACCAGGCCTTTAACACCGGATTTAGATTTGTCGAAGGCCTTCATTTCTTGCAAACGATCGTAGGCGTTGGAGCTATCCATATTGCAAACAATCGTCGGTTGATTGATGATTACAAGAGTTCAATATCGTTCTGTCATTTTATAATTTTAGTTAGTTTTATGTGGCTGGCCCTTTATTGATTAGAAAGAGAGTCACAAGCTTTTAGCCTTTTACTAGGAAGAAGAGAAAGCCAGTCCATGCAGCATTTTCAATGCCATGCCGCACAGCATTAACGGCGTTGGGAGTATTTTTAACGAAAGGACTTACTTATTTAACATAATAAATTATAAGGATTTCATAAAAAGAAGAAAAAACTTGAGGGACCTGATTTAAAATGAGATAAAATTATAAGGATTGTCATATTAGTTTTTAGAAAAACTATAAAAAAAAGACCTTGAAATTGTAAAAATACAGATAAGGACCTTTGACAACTTCATTATAGCTTTCGATAATAATAATATGTCATGAAGTTATCAAAACCTAAAGTGAAGTTGTTAAGGGTCCCTATCTGCGCTTTTGCAATTGTAAGGTCTTTTTTTTTTTTACAATTTTCCCTTAGTTTTTCCTTATAAAAATGTCTTATTATTTATATTTTAAATATTATAAATTATTATTAAAAGAAATTATTGAATTTATGATCACAACCATGGCATTGATGATGGCATAGCCGTTATGTTTGGTTGGAAGGTATTTGGAGGAAGGGGAGCAGAGAAGAGTTGTGTTTGTTCAACAAAATGGAGCGGAGAGAAGGAAATTTTTTTTGTCTTTTAGTGCTTTCCTCTCTTCTTTTTACTCCTCTCCAAATTTGAGGTTTTTTGAGAAGAGAGAAATATTATGTCTCATCCTGATTAAATTACTCATGTTAGTTTTTGAATATTATAAGTTTATCCTTTTCAGTAAAAACTTTTTTTTTACTCTTTACCTTTTTTATACTTTTTTTTTCTTTTCAGCCACTATTATTCGTCCACGGATTTTTTCTACTCTTTAGATGTTCTTTTTTTTTTCCTGCATATTTTCTTCCTCTGATTTCATCATTTCCCATGCTCTTTGCCATTAATCTTCCCCATCTTTTCATGTTGCCTGATCTCTACCTCATTCATCTTATCAGTATTTTTTATTCATTTATTCTGCATAAAGTTATTCTTTATTGGTTTATATGAGTTGAAGTAGTTGAGATCTATTAAAATGATATTATCAACACCAAATTCATTGATATGTGTGTCCATATATATCTATTTTAATTCAATTTTATTTTTTTCACACAAAACTCTGTATATTATGTAATTAAGCATGTGAGGTTGCACACATTATGTAATTAAGGATGGAATAATTCAAAACTTGTGGCATAAATTTATTTATAATTTATATAAGATGCTAAAGATTATAATATATATTTTGATTGACATTTATTTTGACATATGATTATTTATAATCTCTTTCTTATGTCTCAAGATATCTGGTTTTTTTTATATTCACAAATTACAAAATAATAATTATAATATAAATATCATAAAGAGACAATGACATATTTTTTAACTTATAATTTGCTCCCATCCCTTTTTCTCTTAAATCAAATAAGAAATCTCCTTTCCACTCTCTTTTTCTCTAGCCAAACAAAACTCATAACCTTCCTTCTCCTCCCCTCCCTTGCCTAACTCACCTCACCTCACCTCACCTTCCCTCCCCACCCCTCCCCTCCATTGAACCAAACAAAGCCTTACTTCCTGCTGTCGCCTATCCACTCCGCTCGATCACTTTTTGCCTTGCTGTTGTTCTATCTTCGTCTTTATCTGGGATCTTTGTTGGGTCTCACCAGCGATTTTCTTCAGTACCCTATGAGTCTCGCGCTCGCTTTACTTTCTTCTTCTCTTGCCTTCGTCTTCGGCTTTGTCTGTGGGTCTCGCCTAGCTTGGCTCTCATAAGGGGTTTTCTTCAGTTCGCCATGAGTGTCGCCTCTTGCACTCCTTTACACTTTCGTTCTATTCATGGTTGTTCTCTTTTTCATTCTGGTAACCCATTCTGTCTCTGGTTGCTCCTTTTCATTGTGTTCACAACAACTAGTTGCAAGCGTAGCTCTTGGTAAGTTTCTCGATTTTGCTTCCCATTCTGGATTCTCTTTCATTTGGGTTCATTTTATTCTTTTCTTTGTTATTTTTTGAGCCAAGTGTTGATTTTTTTTATTGTGTGTCAAGATGATATTTGTATTCTTGTTCTTTGTTATTCTCTGTTTGTTGTTTAACCTGGTGTTGATTTTTGTAAAAATAACTTATTGAAATATCATATGGCTTGACGATTGTGGTATGTAAATTATATAATTCATATTGCACAACTTTTGAATACTATTGAAACAAAGTTGCCGGTCATGGTTCTTTTTTTTTTTTTTAAATGTTTAGGTGGCGTTGAGGATCTAATGATATTTTCTTCAGAGTTTATTTCTATTTGATGTTTAGGAAAAAAAATCATATGTTACCAGTTTATGTGAATCTGTTTTTAAAATTCTGAACACCAAAGTCGGAACTGCAACAGATTTTTATGAACAAGATAATTCACTATGATTACAAGGAAATAACTAATGTTTTCGTTGTCAGATGTTTTGGGTAATATCCTTATGCAAAAATTCATTTAATTTCCAAAGTTAGATTTTGATTACAAGGAAACAATTGGGTTATTGTATAATCAAAGCAATGAAATCTATTTTTTTTCTTTGTTTTTCTTGGTGAAGTCTGTTGCTGAAGTTTGCCGTATAACTGGATTGTACTTGACATCGATATGATATTTAAAATACTAGGATTATTTTATTTAATAGATATTCTACATGGTGGAGATATTGATAATGGTGCTGATGATGAATTATCAACGATGTGGAACATGTGCTGTATGCATTTAGTGTAGATATAGTAGCTTGTGTTAAACTTTGTTGAATGTTAGATGCTAAGTACGTATACAAGTATCTTGATTCCTCATAGAAACGGAGTTCAGAATTTCTAATCAAGAACATTACTAATTAACTAGTAATATTTTATCAATAAACACTAATAGGCCATAGCTTAAAAAAAACATTTTAAAAAATGAACTGAAAGTTTTGCTTTATAAAGACAGAGGGAATGATCCATTGTTTGTGTTGTGCCCTAGGTTTCTAAGTCATCATTTAATTTGCTTGGGTGGATTGCATAATGAAAAATGCATTGACTTATGTGTTAGAACTGTTGAAAGCACCTTGGGTTACATTTGAGAGAAACCCACCAATTTCGCAAGTTTCTAAAAATTTTGTTCTCATTGAAAATTAGAAATGCATAGAAACAACTCCAATATAATATATATACTTATCATTTACTTTGAGATATCAAGGAAAACTGAAAACATTTTTGTTGCCTTTTCCTGAGGGTGCATTTTGTGGCCATTTTCTTCTGCATTATCTAAAGCTCTTCCTAGCTCAAATTCTTGAAATTTTTTTCAATCCTCTTAAACTAACCAAGTTCCTTAACTTTAAGTGGCATTCCTTTTTTTTTTTCATGGGCTTTTTCCATTGCCGAAATGTTTTATTTTATATGCTTTCTAAGATTAAGTTGTTAAAACTTTTGATCATGAAATTTGTTTATTAAATTGTAGCTGCTATTTGGGGCCTTTCTTGCTAGATATAATTGGAATGGTTAGGGGATTGGCTTTGATGTTTACTTCTCCTTGCCGTGAGGCAATGCATCTGTAGCTGTTATGGAAATGATCAAGTTGTTGAGTAAGCAGATTATTTATTCATTTATTTGTTTCTCTCATATAGAATAACGTGGGCCGTAGTTTCTACATGAATGCAATGGTTATTAACTTGAATCAATGGTCCTCAGAAGGTATGACTATACTATTTTATATTTGTTTTGTAAAGTATTTTATGAGTGGAGTTTTTGCTCCTTATTGACACCCTTCTGCTTGATCATGATGTGCAATACGATATTATCTCCTATCTATTATGGATGATTAATAGTGAATAGCTCTAGTAATACTTTTCTTAAAAAGCTTCAATGTGCTCAGGCATCAAATTCACAGATACAACTGGTAAATGTCCAAACATACTCCTATCTTTAAAACTTGTTGCTTATTACATTACAAAGCAACTTACTTTCCATGTTGAGATTCAAGACATTCATATTTTTGAGTTGTACAAAAGCCTTTCATTTTTTATGTTTAAGTCCTAAAATGCTTTGAAAGTTTTTTAGGTTCTGACAGAAGAAGGTAATTCTTCAGATAAAGTCAGTGAGAATAATCTATGGAAAAGTAAAGATATTGAGTTAGACGAAGAATGTTATGTCCACGTTAGACAAGAAGATATAGTGGAGGGAATGGGTTGCTTCATATTTACTACCCTTTTGAGCATTTTTAGGAAGCTTTATACATGTTATGCTCTACCTCGGATTTAATAATGATCTGTACATCCCCAAAACTTTATTTATTATACAGTTCCATATTCATAATGGATTGAAAAGATGGCATATTTGAGTCCTAGTGCTTGTTATTGGATCTTTTATTTGGATAAGTCCAACTACGTTTACACCTTTTATCAGTTCCGGATTTCAAGGTTATTTTTTAAAATTATTTGTCAGTTTTATTTTTCAAAAGTAACATCTCGTATGAAATAATGTCCTTAGTGGAGGATTTGTCTTTGGGTTTCTCTCATTCCTGCAACAATAACTTCAGCTTGAATAGCCCGTCAACCAAATTAGACAGAGCATCTGGCTTTTATATTTATGTGTTATTATAAATTTATGTAATTGCTGAAATTTAGGTTGGCTTGGCCATTTTTAGTCCTTTTGACATTGGATATTTACAAAGATGCTTGTATGTATTGGTTCATAAATAATTGGCAATCACTGGATTTGTGTGTTTTATTATTAATTTTTTTTTTTTCAAAAAATGACTACTTATGGCGACTGTTGCATTGAGGAATAGAAGCCGTAAGTTGTGACTTATGGCATCTGTTCCTTTATGACAGACGCCATAAGTTATTTCTGTAATAGCGTTAGAATCTGATGAAGTGTGAAGCATGACCCGT